CAAAATTCCACTTTCTGGAATAACAGGCCACGTACCTCTGGTTATTTGCAGTAGTTCCCAGGAGGCCACGTGATGCCATGTCGTATGTTGGCCAGCAAGATGTTGCACCAACAGGTTGGTGAGAGACTTCCCCAGCGTCTATGTGACACCTTCTGGTTGTGTTTTCTAGAATATATGTGCCATAGCTAGACTTACAACCGGCACACCACAAGCTTCTCAAGTTGACCTTGAAGATAACTTACTCTTTTTCCTCTTGGTGTTCTGGAAAGATTTCACAGGACTTTGGCACTACAGATGATACATAACTAGCCAGTGATTTGAGGGTAGATGAGTCTTTGAAGCAAGAAGCTATTTAGAGTTGAATCTTAATGTTTGGGAGTCGATTTTAAATTTGTTTTCCTTGTTGTAAAAGACTGCTGAGGTATAATGAGGTGACCTACTGCAGAGGGCTTCCGTGTCCTTGTTGAGCTGAGGCAAAGAGCTTGACATTGTCATTTATATCTTAGAAAATGCTGGAACTGGAGAATAGAGGTTTTATTTCTCATTCATAAAGGGTTATAATAGTGGACTTTTATTGGTTATAGTAAGTCAAGCAGAAATCTTTTCCTTTATAACCAGAGAGACACAGATTATGGGGATTGAGGGATTATTGCCATTTCGATGTAGTCCAGCCCTTGAAAAAAGTGGTAGCTATCTCAGGGGTATAAGGGTAGATTTAAACAAAATTAGTTAAGTTAGATTTCAAAGTCTGCTCCTGTTACCATAAGTACCTAGTAAAAGTCAATTGGCTAATGTTTCTTTGTAAGATAGATGGTGAAACACACACACAATATTCTAGTATAGATTGATTATAGCTAGTCCTCATTTTGCATTTAATAGTCAATGGAAAAATTACGAGTTCTATGACCTTTAAAAATTTTTGCCAAAACATTACAAATTTTAATGTAGGCCATAAATATATAGGGAAATGAAAAAAACCAGTGCAGTTAATATTTATTTAGCATGCTATAATTTAAAATGTTAGAAACATTGAGAATTAAAGTGTTTTATTTCTTTGAGTAAAACTTAGGAACAATCGGAACGTTTGCTTTCTTTTCACCGTATAACTTCTGTAGTATTTTTTTTTCCTTTAGTGAATTGTTGGAAATTGATCTAAAGTTGGAAGATATCTGAGCATCCCTTTCATGTCACCTCCTTTGGGACGTCTGCATTCTTTTCATCACAAGCACCGTCCGACTTTGCTTTGTATTTCTTTGTTGCACTTTCCATCTTGTTGGCCCATACTCTTTTCTGGATTATCTGCTTTGGTAAACTGATTTTATTACTTGCAGAAGAGCAAGCACCAGAACTGCTTGCTTTACGGTCTGTGTCTACAGTGACTTTCACATGTGCAGGACCAGTCACTGACAGGCTTTGGAAGAAATGACCTGATTGGTCATTGGTCCTGATGCACATCTGTTAGTCACATCGTGATTTGTGGACCAAGGAGTAAGCAATGAAGTTTGTCCTCGAGGCAGTTCCTCAGTTAATGTACTGAAGTTTAACCCATGTGCTGGGGGACCGATATTATTTAACTAAACAGTGTTAAGGAAAATCCATGCATATTGGGACCATGCAAAGCGAGGAATGCCTGTATTCCAGTTATAAATTATTTGTAGGACATTTAAATCTCAGCTCCCCTTTTCTTCCTGTGTGGCTCATTGAGTCCATCCAGTTTAGCCAAGCTGTGATTAGAAATCCAATTCAGAATTGAACCAGGAATTTAGAAGTCATTGACTCAACCTCAGAGTCAGCTTTGACTTCTCTTATCTAAGACTTCATAGAGTAGAGCAGGCACTAGTGAAAGTATTTTCCAGACTCCGTCTGTCACGGGTAGTTTTGACTTGATGTGCAGCCAAGGGCCCTGAATAGTTTCTGGGTTGTCACTTTGGTAATTTTTTCAACTTTCTCCTTCCTCTGCCTTCTCCCCTCGTCCTTGGCCTGCCCTTTTCCTCCTGTGTCCCATCTCCAAGTTCTATTGATTTTCCATCCAGCATTATATTACTGCATGTTTCTTTCTATTCCTGTTGCCGTCATCCTAATGATATGTTTTTCAACTTGAATTTCAATTGTTCTAATAGTTTCCTAACTGCCTTTCCCACTGTCGTCTCTCTTCTTTCCAGCGAATCCTGCATGCCATCACCAGAGTAATCTTCCTGGAATATTCTTTCAGTCTTACTTAATCCTGTGCTTGAAGCCTGCAAAATAACTTAGTGATTACAGGATAGAATCGAAACCCTTATCAGGCCTGTAATAACCTTCATCGTCTGACGCAAATCTCCTTCTTCCAATGTGTCACCCTATCTCTTTCTTTCCCTCAAGAACCCAGAGTTTCAACAGGACACATTTATTCATCGTCTCCCAAATGTGCCCATCTTCCTATCTTTCTACGCATCGTTTTTCTAAATATCCTCTTTTGTGTTTTCTGAATCTCACCCAGTTCCAAAGACTTAGCCCAAAAGATCTCTCCTGTGAAATCTATTTTGACTTCCTAGAAATGTCTTTTCTCCTCACTGAGGTGTCAAAGAATTTATACTTTACATTTTCCAGTTGGTACTTTTTTCTAGTCGGTATTTTTAGTTATCATGTATTATTTCATCTCCCCATTTGGCTTTTAAATTCTTGAAGGGCGGTGACTGAGTCTTCTCGTCTATCTGAAAAGGCGTTTGGCAGAGTGGTAGGTATAAATCTGTTCATTCCTTCCTTTAGTATTTTCTTGAGCCTTAGCTTTTTTTCTAGACTCTGAGATGCATGCAAGGGGCAAAACATAACAAGATAATTTGCCTGACCTCACAGAGCTGTGGTTGGGTGAGGCATACAGAGAAGAAGTCAGACCGTTGTGATGCAGCAAGATGCATGGGCTGAGGAGTGAGTGAGATTCGTGGACACACAGAGGAGAGGCATCAAAGCGTAGATGAGGGGCGACAGGGAGGCTTCTAGAAGAAGTGAGGTTCAGGCAGAGTCTTAAAAGTAAGTAGGCAGTTGAAGGGAGTCAAGTGGAAAGAGTGTTCAGGCAAAAGACTCAGAGTGGATGAAGCTTTGGAGGGTTGAGAAGGCCCTACATTCCGAGGAACTGAATGCAGTTCCATGTAGCTGTGTTGTAGAGAGTGAGATGATATTCATGAATAATGAAATGTGGAGGAAAGCAGCTCATGCAAAAGAAGGGGACATCTTTGATGAATGTTCAGAAGAGAGGACTTCCAGGACCAGATGGCTGAATAGATGAGATGAGGGAGCAGCACCACTCAGTAGATGGAGATATTGGAAGAGGAGTTTAGCTGTGGATGTTTTAGTTTGAGTTATCGGTGAAATATCTATGTGGAGGCATATGTAGGAGTAGACGGTTTGAAGTTCAACAGAAAGCTTTGGCCAGGACATATAAATATGGGTGACATCCATGAGTGACAGGATGAAATCTTAGAGGAAGAGTGTGTGGGGTTTGTGAAGAAGATTTCAAGATCAGACCTTAAAGCTCATCTGTATATAAAGGACAACTAAGAAAGCAGAGTGTGCAAAGTCTGTTAAGATGGATTAGGTGGCCAGGCGCAGTGGCTCAAACCTGTAAACTCAGCACTTTGGGAGGTAAAGTGAGGGGATGGTCTGAGCCCATGGGTTCGAGTCCAGCCTGAACAACTTCGTGAGACCTCATCTCTATAATAAATTGAAAGATTAGCAGGGCATGGTAGCATGCACCTGTAGTTTGGGCTACTTGGAAGGCTGAGGCGGTAGGATCGCTGGAGTCCAGCAGGTTGACGCTGGGGTGGCCGTGAGCATGCCACGACACTGCAGCATGCAACATGGGTGACGCAGTGAGATTCCAACTCAAAAGAAAAGAAAAGAAAACAGAGTGTACATAGTTAAGATGGAATAAGTAAGGAGGGAGGAGCGAGGCCAGTGAGGTGGGATGTGACAGAAACCAAGGAAGGCTGTTGGACTTAGCAACGTGGAGGTCGTGAGTGACTCTGATCAGAGTCGTTTCTGTGTAGATGAGGGCTAGAGGTAGGAAAACTTGATCTGACTCAAGAAAGATCGTAGTTCATTGGGAAGTGAATGGACAGTTTTGTTGGAAAGTTTGATGATAGGGGAGAGGATTTAAAGAGGATGGAAGCCGGAAGGAAATGGAGTTGTGGGACTTTTATGACATGTGTTCAGCTAGTAAGAATCTGATGACGTTAAAGACTGATAGGAAGAGTTCACTGGTGAAGAGCTTAGCTGAATTTCATCAGTGTTAAAAGCTTCTCTTAAAATTATGCACCCAGTATGTCCTCCTTCTGTATTCTAAATAAGTTAATTCCAGACTAATATTAGGCTTCACTGAGGTCTTTTTAGCTCAACACGATTGCAAATTCCTGTAAATTGTGACTCAAACTAATTTACTGTGCTGTTCCGGGTAGTACTTAGTTCAGTGACTTACGTAGAGAAAATTTTCAACAGATAGTATTTTTATTACACTCATTTATTTTTGTGTTTATTCTTCGAGAAAGCATTTTTTAAACATCCACTGTTTGCCAGATATTTTCTGGGTGCCGAAGGTATAAAAGTTACCAAGCCAGACATACCTTTGTCCCCAAGGAGTTTATAATCTGGAGAGACGGTTAATAACCCAGTCCCTAAATAGAAAAGCAATGTAATTACGGATGACAGGAAGTACTTGAAATGACACTGAGGCAGCCAGTTGTCCTGAATGGCCACTGTGTAGACATTCTTTTCCTGTGAACTCGTCTTTCCATGATGGGGGAGGACAGTGACAAACTAGGAGAGAGTTAATGACTTCAGATGGAAAGAAGAAGGTAGTAATTCAGAGTATTTTTGGCATAGTATTTGTTCCTTTGTTTACCATTTCTGAAGTCTGTGGGAATATGCTAGTAGGAGCGGGCTGTGTGTTTGGGTTTTATTGGTCAATTGTGATTTCACTTTTGCACAACAAACCAACTGTCCACATCTTCTCTTTTCTCTTTCAGTAATCTGCCATCTTCCATGCATGAATGGTGGCCAGTGCAGTTCCAGGGACAAATGTCAGTGCCCCCCGAATTTCACAGGGAAACTTTGCCAGATCCCGGTCCATGGTGCCAGCGTGCCTAAACTTTATCAGCACTCCCCGCAGCCGGGCACGGCGCTGGGGACACACGTCATCCATTCCACACATACCTTGCCTCTGACCATGACAAGCCAGCAGGGAGTCAAAGGTAAGGCCTTCTCAGGTAGCCGGTTCGCCAGACTGCTGTTCACCTGCCCAACCCACATAGAAGCCCAGTGTCTGCGGATGGCCAGGGCTGGTATTGAAACAACAAGGAGCACATGATGTGTGGCCTAGAAATGGCAGTAGAGACAGAATGTGGCCCAGGTATGTGGCTGCAATACTTCTTAGGCCATCGAGATTGATGTCCAGGAAATAAAGAGAAGCCCGTCGTCCTCTAGTGACTGTTCACACCATGACCTGTTGAATGTACCCAGGTGTGTTCTGGAAAGGACCAGGAAGTAGATGGGCAGGACAGTGCAGCTTTGATAAACAAGTGGGTTAAATAGTGCCAGCTGGTGGATTTTGTAACTGAAGCGTGCGTGGTTTTAGTTGTGAATAGTCATTTAACCTCACTGGGCTTCACTATGTCCATCTGTAGAGGAAGGTATAAAGGTCACTTGGCATTCAGATATCCAGGACTAATCTACTCTTTTAAACCTGGCATTTTTATAAATGCCCAGTTATTTATTTATTTTTTATTTATTTATTTTTTATTTTTTTGAGTTGTAGTCTCACTCTGTCACCCAGACTGGAGTGCAGTGGCCACTCCTGGCCACCGCAGCCTCGACCTGCTGGGCTCCGGCGATCCTTCCGCCTCAGCCTTCCAAGTCGCTGGAACTACAGGCACGTGCTACCACGCCCAGCTAATTTTTTGATTTATTGTAGAGATGAGGTCTCACTTGCCCAGGCGGGTCTCGAACCCACAGGCTCAGGCAATGCCCAGTTTTTTTAAAGGGGGCCAGAGAAGTGTTACTGGCCCTTATTCTTTAAAACCTGGATTTTTGCATCAAAAGGTGAAATTTTGTTTGAAAGCTACAGAGAGCAAATCTCATTACAGATATAAAATAACACACTTTGGTATTCTCTGTGTGTGTGTATCATGAGAAGCACAAACAGTACATACTGTGTTATTTAGGGGTAGGAGAATTTGTGAAACTGGGTTTGTCTTTGAACGGTAAATCCCAGAATTTCTATGATAGGAATCTTACGAGCAATTCAAAAGTAATCAGGTTAACTCTGGTGCTTTTTATTATCATTTGGTAAAATTTGCCTACCTATGATGACAAGCAGCGTGCATTTCATAGTTTTATTACTCTTCTGTAAAGAATATTTTTGTCTCATGAATGTGCTACTGTTAAAAGTTTTCATTTCTCTTTGTAAGTGCAATGTTCAGAATAAAAAAATCTAAAGCTGGGTGTAGTGGCTCACACCTATAATCCCAGCACTTTGGGAGGCTGAGGTGAGTGGATTGCCTGAGCCCACAGGTTCAAGACCAGCCTGGGCAACTTGCGAGACCTTGTCTCTACACTAAATCAAAAATATTAGCTGGGCATGGTGGTGCACGCTTGTAGTTCCAGTTACTTTGAAGGCTGAGGCAGAAGGATTGCCTGAGACCAGCAGGTCGAGGCTGTGGTGGCCATGAGCATCCACTACACTCCAGCCTGGGCGACAGAGTGAGATTCCGACTGAAAAAAAAAAAAAAAATTCAAGTATAATTTTTATTTTGAGGGTAACCTTTTTTCAATAATTTTTTTTACATTTTTAAAAACAATTTTGATGGTTAGCAGCCAAAAGATACATTGTATATATGCAATGTGTCCTATCTGTGGTATAGATGTACATATGTATATTTGTGCTTATGTGTGTATACAATCTGCTTTCACGTTGTAAAAGCCCTGACTCACCTGTCAGTTCTTCGTGCCTAACATGCTTTCCCCAAAATCTGTTCTAGTGAAATTTCCCCCCAACATAGTCAATATCCATGTGAAGCATCCCCCTGAAGCTTCAGTCCAGATACATCAGGTTTCCAGAATCGATGGCCCAACGGGTCAGAAGGCAAAAGAAACTCAACCAGGCCAATCCCAAATCTCTTACCAAGGACTGCCTGTCCAGAAGACCCAGACCGTACATTCCACGTTCTCCCACCAGCAAGTCATTCCTCACGTATACCCTGTGGCTGCCAAGACGCAGCTTGGCCGGTGCTTCCAGGAAACCATTGGGTCACAGGTAAGCCGTTATTGCCTGGCACACGTGTTATTGCATTGTAATAAGAAAGCCAGGCTTGGTAACTATGATTAAAAGGAGATGCCCCATGAGCCTGTCCTGTAAATAAAGTTTTATTGGTACATGGCCACATCGTTCGTTTGCATATCCTCCTCTATGCTTGTTGACTGTGTCTGTGATCACAGAATTGAGTAGTTCCAGTGAGATCATATGATCTGCAGAATCTAAAATATTTACTATTTTATAGTCCTTTACAAAATAAAGCTTGCCAATCCCTGATGCATAGAATAATTTGAAGTAGTGAGTCTCCAGAAATGTTGCCAGAACTCCATGATTGCCTATTTATGTTTTTTTTGTTTTTTGTTTTGGATAGGGTGATCTCTGCATAAAACATGTGTCAGGCATGAGATGTCATACAGGAAATATATTCTGCAAAGATTTTTGAAAATATTTGTGCCTTTTGCAGTAGTTTACAGGTTACTAGGTACAGTTGAGTTTTGAATTAATTGTGCAATAACAATTCATGTCATCTTTTCTTCTAATAAAAATTTATAGCTAGAAAGAATGCCTGAGTCATTTGAAGTACCTTTTAAATATCATTGAATTTACTTATACTTTTAGGCCTATATTTATATCATAAAGTGAGAGAAAGACTGTTTTCTTTAAAATTCATCATTGAGGCTGACTGAAGTGGCTCACTCTTGTAATCCCAGTGCATTGGGAGGTCGAGATGGAAGGATTGCTTGAGCCTAGGAGATTAAGACCAGCCTGGGCAACATAACGAGACCTCATTTCTACAAAAAAAAAAAAATTTAAAAACTAGTTGTACGCAGTGGCGTGCACCTGTAGTCCCAGCTCATTGGGAGGCTGAGGCAGAAAGATCACCTGAGCCCAGGAGGTCAAGGCTGCAGTGAACTGTGATCATGCCACTGCATTCCAACCTGGGTGACAGAGTCAATAAATTATAATGACAGTAAATAAATAAATACCTCATCATTGAATGCATTCAGGTTGTCTTTATATTTGTTTTGTTTTTCTACCCCAAGCATTTGGTGCTACCTGCGTGATGGATGGAGGCTTTGGTCTTTGGTTTCCCTCCTATCCTTTTGTTGTACTTTAAACACCCCATGAGAAGAGTAGGTGAAGTATATTTATTATTCCTCTGTTGTTTCCTGAATATTCAAAAAATTGTGTGTGCGTGTGTGTATGTGTGTGTGTGCACATGTGTGCGCGTGCGCGCACAGAGAGAGAGAAAGAGAGAGAGAGAGAAATACCTGGGGATAATTGTTTCTGCTTTAAAAGCCTGGAAAACACATTCAGGTTCTATGTCAATGGTGGGATGATCACCTTTCTTCTAGGAGGAGGGAGAACTAGTTGGTAGACCTGAGTGGGAGGCAGTGTGTAGGGATGGTAAGAGCATCCGTGTGGGATTTCAAGACCTTGGCTAGAGCCATGGGTCCAGTGCTGGGGAGGAGGGAACCAGCTTCCTTGTCTGCAGAATAAAGATAAGATAGCACACTCATGGACTTGGTTAAGATGAACTGAGATAGTTAATGTGAGTCCCGCTTTGCAAGTATTATAGAACTATGCAAATATCAGCTTAGAGAATGTTGGTAGAGATAGAATCAAACTTAAAAATAACATAGGTAGTCGCTTATGTCATGTCATTTTAAGTCAGAGACAGCTTCGGTGCCCCAAACACAGCCCTTACCTGCCTGTGGATGCTGAATTGCTGACTCCAGGGCACCTTACACAACCTTCCACTCCTCGACTGGAGTCCAGGATTAGCAAATGCTTTGGGAGAAGAAACATCACCCATTTAAATTTAACTAAGAAGTGAAGACAGGGTTTTGTACTAAGGGCAGGTTTGCTAAGGACAGTGGAGCTGAAGATAAATGTGAGACTCTTCCCAGCTTTGCCCGGGACTAGCCTTGGAGAGGGAGGGAGGATGGATTTGGAACCCTTTGTATTGTTTAGTCATTCCAGCTTAGGTTGGTCGAGGAGAAAGGAAAAAGCAGATCCTTTTAAAACTGTGTGCCCAGTACCTTTCTCCTCAGTTTCCAAGTTGGAACACAGATGATAAAACGCAAGAAAATGAGGCATAACAAACTTGTTATTCTTGTATAATGTTAGGCAGATGATTGCTAACTGGAAAAGACAAAAACAAATTATTTACTTTGAAAGCCTGAAATGGCCTATGCAGTTGAAATGAACTGGATAATTGATTGAGTTGCCCAAATAATTAAAAGCCAGTGGAATACTTTCTCTTATCTGGATACATCTCTGACTTTTGGTCTGAAAGATCCAGACAGTGATCTCAATTCTTAATTCATTTTGCATGTGTTGTCTCTAATACAAGCTTCAAAATAAGACCTGTTTTTGGAAAACATTCTCAGCATATATTTATTTGTCTTCCTGTTCATGAGAAACACTGCTGGATGCCAGTGATTAACCAATTAATTTGTGCAATTAGGGTGAACCAGGCATTTAAAGAATACATTACTGGCAAATAGTCAGTAGTATATGGATGTGTCCTACCCTCTAAAGATGTTTCAAAACATCTGTGCTTTCTTCCTGTGGCTGGTTTGCAAACACAGTTACAGCCAGGAAGTGTAAGTAGATTTTAAATGATCGGCAAACAAACAAACAAACAACAACAACAAAAATCCTGGAAAAATGCTCCCTGTTACTTATCACAGTGGGAGCTCTCTTAGCTACAGATTTCAGCTTTTAATACAATACTTATCAGTAGGCCCCTAAGTTGATCTGTTGCTATGAGAAGTCATGTACAAAATAAACTTGGCAGGAACAGTCCTTGATTCTGTGGCACATTCAAATAACTAGTTAGCAAACTTGAGATTGAAAACTCAAGATGAGCTGTGATCAATGAGTTTAAATTCAGGAAAGCTTCATAAAGTAGGATCTCAGAATTGTTTGGACAGTGGCAGGAGGTGGATGACTGGGTGGGAAACCAAGCTCACAGAGCAAAAGGGGAGAATAACTAAACAGGAGAGAGAGCAATGAAAGAAATGGGCAGAAAGAATTGCCAGGAGGTCAGAGAAGCGAAATAGTATGGGATTCTGGGCCGGCTTCTATATAAATATTAAACATCTTATTCCCGAGGCCTAGTGCAGGGATGTAACCTTGTTGGCAAGATCAAAATATCATGAAGCCCCTTTGCCCAAGTGATCAAGCTTGGCATCATTAATAGGGAATATTGAGTGTCTCTGGCTGTGACAGTATAAAGTTTATAACACCATCCATGACATTCTTGCCAAAATGTCTAACCTAACCTAATCAAATCTTGAACCTAACCTCAAGCTTATAGGGAATACTGTAAAAAAACAGTAAAGAAACAAAGCCTAGAACCAATTAGCCAGGAGCGGTGGCATGTACCTGTAGTCCCAGCCACATGCGAGGTTGAGGCAGAAGAATTTGGGTTCAGAAGAGCAAAGCTGCAGTGAGCCATGATTGTGCCCCTGCACTCTAGCTTGGTTGACAGAGTAAGACCTCAGCTCAAAAACAAAAACAACAAAAAAAACTACAACCATCATCCACAGAAAAAAACAGCAAAACATATTTGTAATATAGGGCATTATTGCCTTTTTTTTCCCCCCAAAAAAATCATACTATAAAAAAAGTGGGATGACATTTATTCTGGAAAGACACTAAAGAGACACAACAATAAGTGTAATATATTCACCTTAATTAAATTTTGGGTTTTTTGTTTTGTTTTGTTTTTTTGAACCAGAAGAACAGCAAAAGCCAGCTCTAAAAGACATCTGGGGGAACAACTGGGAAAATCTGACCATGAACTGGATCCTAGTTCATTTTGTGTTGCTGTGATAGATTACCACAGATTTGGAAATATGTAAAGAAAAAAAATATTTCTCACTGCTCTGGAGATTGCAAAGTCCAGTATCGAGGTGCTGACATCTTACCAGAGCCCTCTTGTGTCATCCCATGGCAGAAGAGTAAGAGAGCCCAAGAGAGCAAGAGTGGCTGAACTTGCTTCTGTAACAAGCCCACTCTGGGGATAACTCACCCGCTCCCGAGATACCGACATCAATCCAATTGTGAGGACAGAGCCCTACATGACCGAAACACCTGTTATTAGGGTCCATCTTCTCAACACTATTGCTTTGGGGATTCAGTTTCCAACACATGAAATTTGGGGACACATTGAAACCATAGGAAATGAGCTGTTAGATGGTATTTGGGAATTGTTATAAAATTTCTTAGATGATGTGATAATAATATTGGGATTATATAGAGAAGACCCTTATTCTTGAGAGAGGAATACTGAAATTTTAGAGGTGAATGCCATGATGTTGCTAATGTACAGGCATACCTCATTTTGTTGCACTCAGCTTCATTGTACTTTGCCGATACGGCATCTTTTACAAATTGAAGGTTTATGATAACCCTGCTTCAGGCAAGTTTATTGACATCATTTTTTCCAACAGCATGTATTTACTTTATGTCTCTGTGTCACAATTTGGTCATTCTTACAATATTTCATACTTTTTCAATATTATTATATCTGCTATGATGATCTGTGATCCGTGATCTTTGTCACTATTGTAATTGTTTTGGGCCCTACAACCCACACCCCATATAAGATGGCGAACTTGATCGATAAATGTTGTTTGTTTTCTGACTGCTCCACCAGCTGGCTGTTGTGTTCCTCTCTCATCCTCTCTTTCCTTGGACCTCATTATTGACTGAGACACAACAATATTAAAATTGGGCCAGTTAATAACCCTATCATGGCTTCTAAGAGTTCAAGTAAAAGGAAGAGACTCAATTTCACATTAAATCAAACGCTAGACATGATGACACTTAGTGAGGAAGGCATTTTGTAAGCCAAGGTAGGCTGAGAGCGAGGCCTCTGCTAGACAGGCAGCCAAGTGGCAAATGCAAAGGAAACGTTCTTGAAGGCAATGAGAAGTGCCACTCCAGGGAACACAGGGATGATAAGAAAGCAAAACAGTCTAATTGCT